AGTCTATATAACCGTCGGATCTTGCCTTAGGGTTCGTTAAAATCTGATTGTTGGCCGGTTTGACAGTCGTCTCGGCCACCAATTTGTCGGTGTCTTTCTCGTTGAAGTTGGAGATACCGATAGATCGGACGAGTTTGGCGTTGTAGGCGTCCTCTAAGCCTTTATACACCTCAACGAAGTTACCCCACGGGAAGTGCACGAGAACCAGGTCCAGGTATGTCACGTTCAGTTTGGTGAGCGACTGGTGCACCTCATCCAACGCCTTCTTGCGGTCGTCGTGTGGCCACACTTTGGTTGTTATGAAGATGTCCTCCCTCTTGATGACACCGGCCTTAATAGACTCGGCGATGGCCTGACCCACATCCTCCTCATTGCCGTAATCGGAAGCGGTATCGATATGTCTGTAACCGATTTCGATGGCATCCTTAACCGCCTGTTTGACCTCAGCTCCATGTGCCTGCCAGGTGCCCAACCCCAGGATTGGCATCTCATAACCGGTGTTCAGTTTCACCGTTTGGTCTGTGTTTGAGAAAAATTAATTTTTTAAGTAAAACAAAGTTTTTTATTAGACTTGTGGTTGACTTACAGGCGTTGATGCCATAGAGGCTGCCAATGAGCGCAACGACTGTCAAGAATCTCATGGTTTCAGACAATTCTGTGTTTCTCTAAACTCAATAGAAAACTGAATTTAATTGTCGACTCTTTTTGGTATTTATATTGTTTTTGCGAAATCCTTGATCAATTGATTTCTCAAATTGTTTCACAACAGCTTTTGCACCAATTTTGACATCAGATTATTAAACTGTTTGTCCCATTCATAAATCATAGTAACAATTCTCATATTCATGATCCCTTATTGTGATTTGATTAATAAAATAATAGGCATATCCTTAACCACCCTAAGAATCTGACTTTTTGAGAAATTATTAGATTACTTGTCCCTTATTTAAGTGCATGAGTTCACTATTAATCCATTTTGAAAGTGAAGCACAATTGAGTACAATATCTAATCTTGTATAATAATTGTATGAATAATTGTTTCGCAAATACGGTATGAGTTGATTTGCACCACATTTGAAAAGTGTGCTGCGGATACAAATGTATTTGTAAGCTCTTAACTTTTCATATAAATACTGTATACTTAAAAATTTATATAAATTAAACTATAAGTTTTGACTTAAGTTTTGAAATTTTTTAATTTGTTTGATTTATTATTTAATCATAATTCCCGACAATGGCTCCTATTTGGACCGAAAGTAAGTTTCCTTGAGTTTTAAGATCTAATAAATACAGTATCTCTAAATCATTACTAAATTGTAACTCTAAAAAGTTGTTATTAAATTAACAACATATTTGACTATTAAACAAAATAAGTAAATATGTTTTTTTTGAAATTTTGTCATAAAAGCACTAAATTAAATACATAGATCTAATAGAAGTTATGTAAAAATTAAATACTTAATTGAATTAATTAAATTTAATTAAATACTTAAAAATAAATAATTAATTGTGTAATCTTATAGAAATTAGTGACATATTTGGTAAAGTTTGTTAAAAGTCTAATTAACTGTAAACTTATTTACTAATATAAGATACTGTGTACTCAAAAAACTATATTTTAATGTAAATTATTTTTATTAATATTGTATTTAAATATAAAATATATTTTTACAAATATAAATGTTACAAAACACAATCAAGTATTTCAAACAAATATCATTTAATTTTATCATTTAATACGGGATTTGTTTCATCTCATCAGCGGTTAGAGTGAAGTCAAAGACCTCGAAGTCTTCCTGAATGTACGCCTTCTTCACACTCTTGGGGATCACAATCACTCCCCTCTGGATCTGCCATCTGATCATCACCTGAGCGGCACTCTTGTTGTGTTTCTGTCCGATGGCAACCAATTTAGGGTCTTTCACGAGAGTACCGGTGCCGAGGGGTGAGTATGCGGTGACCGTAATGTTATGGGTGTGCGAGTAGTCCACATACCCGCTCTGTGCGGCCCTCGGGTTACATACGATCTGGTTGTTGGCCGGTTTGACAGTCGTTTTGGACACCAATTCGTTGGTTTGGTTTTCGTTGAAGTTTGAGATACCGATAGATCGGACGACCTTTTCGTTGTAGGCGTCCTCTAAGCCCTTATACACGTCCACAAAGTCTCCCTGAGGGAAGTGCACGAGAACCAGGTCCAGGTATGTCAGGTTCAGTTTGGTGAGCGACTGGTGCACCTCAGCCAACGACTTCTTACGGTCGGAGCCCTGGGGCCACACTTTGGTCGTCACAAACAGGTCCTCCCTTTTGATGACACCGGCCTTAATAGACTCGGCGATGGCCTGACCCACCTCTACCTCATTGCCGTAATCGGAAGCGGTATCGATATGTCTGTAACCGATCTTAATGGCATCAATAACAGCCTGTTTGACCTCAGCTCCATGTGCCTGCCAGGTGCCCAACCCCAGGATTGGCATCTCATAACCGGTGTTTAGTTTCACGGTTTCGTCTATGTTTGAGGAATTCATAGTAATATTGAACAAAGTTTTTAATTTTATTTTTCGTTGACTTACAG